AGTCCATTTTCTTCTTGATTCAATCCCTCTCCTTCCCCTAACAGAGCCCCTGGAACCTGAAGAGCATGTGCATTACTAATCAGATGCACCATCAGCTGCCAACCTGGAATCTGATTACTAATGGACTGGCCTCGCTCAGGGCAGCCCCTAGGGATAGGAAGCCGTAACTATGCTCTGAGGGAGAATGGATACTGAGGGTGCCACCAGTCAAAGAGCCGCACACTGTGCACAGGGTCCAGGATGACTTGCACGCCCTGTTCACTGCGAAGTTTCCGACCACCGTGGATAGGAGAATCCTGGAACACCAGTCTTACTCGATGGTGCCGCATGTCCGTGCTCACGTTGATAGTAAGCTGAGAGGGAAAAGCAAATTAAACAATCTTGGTTTCCTGTGGCTCTGAAATGAGACAGACATTCTAGACCCATTTACTACTTTGGCAACAAGATTCAAACTTGGGTCATAACACCAATGCCTCTGAAAACATGTAAAAATTTGAGAGATTTTTATAAGCTCTTTATTTTAAAGAAAATGCTATAATATAAAAGGCTGAATAAACTGGAAGTACATTGATACACATAATACTACCATTAAAGGCAGCTTTTAAAAATTGAGTTAGAACACTTTTTTTTTTAGTTAGAATTTTAAGAGAAGACTTGCAAGGATTCTGGTATTATTGAGCAAGTGAAACAAGGTGCTCTTAGTGATAATATAATCTGATCTCATTTTTTGTAAAATAAACTACAAAATCACTAAATGAGCATGAATATACAGGTCTGCAAGGGATTATAAACATAGAGTACAAGCAATATATACGTATACAAGTAGGTTGTTAATGTGGTCTAACCTGGAAAGGCAAGATGTTCATAATAAAAACAGTATGTATGATATCATCCCAATTATGCAAAACTATTTAAGTGGGTATATACATAATACAAAGGAGTTCTGGAAGCTCTGTGGTTAAGGCACTCATCTGCTAACCAAAAGTTTGGCTGTTTGAAGTGACAGGTCAATCTGGATGAGAATGAAGCAGTCTGCTTCTGTAAAGTAACAGTCTTGGAAACTGTACAGGCAGTTCTACTTTGTCCTGTAGAGTTCACTGTGCTAAGCTGGGAGCAACTCAACAGCACTGAATAACCATGAAAAACACACAAAGTAAATAATGTTTCCCAAAAAGGTTAAGGGCAGTTATAGGGTTCTTCTTTCTCATTGCTGATGCTCCAGTGGGTTTTCAGAGGCTATATATCACATGGCAAAAAATAAGGCTCCAGGAATAGATGGTATACCAACTGACATATTTCAGTTAACAGATGCTGCCCTGGATGTGCTCACCAAGTTGTGCCAAGAAATCTGGAGAA